TCCTTGTGCGCCAGCTCCGACTCCTCCAGCACCCGCCGCTGTGCCGTCTCCTTCTTCAGGAACTCGATCTCCCTGTGGGATCCAGCACGGGCAGCTCGTCACTCCCCAGCACTGGGGAGAGCCCAGGTAGGTGGGGTAGGTGAGGGGGGACCCCGGGGACTTGGGTGTCAGGGAGGGACTGTGCTCCCAGGGGATGGTCCCTGACCTGGGGATGGTCCATGGCCAGGGATATGGGATGCCCCAGAAGGATCTGGTTGTCCAAGGATGGGTTTGCATCAAAGAGATGGTTCATGGCCAGAGGATGATCCGTGGCCAGGGAACGGCCCATGGTCAGGGATGAGGAGTACCCGGCAAGGAGCTGGTGCCCCAAGGATGGTTCCATGGCAAGGGAAAGGTCACTGCCCAAGGAAGGGATGGTCCATGGCCAGGGGATGGTCCCCGCCCAGAGGATGGTCTGTGGCCAGGTGAAGATCCATGCCCGGGGATCTGGGATGCCCAGGAAGGATTTGGTGCCCCAGGGATGGCTTCACATCAAGGGGATGGTCCCTGCCCAGAGCATGGTCCATGCCCAGAGGATGGTCCATGGCCACAGGATGGTCTACGGCCAGGAGATGGTCCATGGCCATGGTCCATCCCCCATGAGGGATGCCCAGCAAGGAGCTGATGCCCCAAGGGTAGTTCCATGCCAAGGGAAAGATCCCTGCCCAAGGGATGGTCCCTGCCCAGGGGATGAGGGATGCCCAGGGGGGATTTGGTGCCTCAGGGATGATTTTCTGCCCAGAGAATGGTCTGTGCCCAGGGAACCGTTCATGCCCAACAGATGCTCTGTGCCCAAGGTCAACAGGCGCCCAGGAAGGGGTCAGTGCCCCACAGGTGGGTCCCTGCCCAGGGGACGGTCCATGCCCAGGGGATGATCCATGCCCAATGGCACAGTCTGTGCCCAGGGAGGGGTCGGTGCCCCAGGGATGGGTCCATGCCCCAGGGGATGCTCTGTGCCCAGGTCCCGGTGTCACCCTCACTTTTGCTGGTACTCCTTGATGAGCCTCTTGGCCTTGCTGTACTTGCGCTCCAGGGTCTGGTACTGCGCCTGCGTCTCCTTGAGGTGCTCATCCACAGCCTGGCAGAGGTTCTGCGCCTCCATCCAGTACCCCTCCAGCTTCTCCATCCGCTCCTTGTTCTCCTCCACGCTCTGCTCCAGCTGGGCCTTCTCGGCCCGCCAGCGCGCCTTCTCCTGCTCCAGGCACTGCAGCTGGGGGACAGTGGCGTCAGGGCATGGCACGGTATGGCACGGCATGGCACGGCATGGCACGGTACAGCATGCTACGGTACGTTACGGCATGGCCAGGGAGCAGGTATGGCACAGCATGGCATGGCACGGCATGGCACGGTACAGCATGCTACGGTACGTTACGGCATGGCCAGGGAGCAGGTATGGCACAGCATGGCATGGCACGGCATGGCACGGTACGGCATGCTACAGTACGGTACGGCATGGCCAGGGAGCAGGTATGGTGCACAGCATGGCATGGCACAGTACGGCACGGTACGGCATGGTACGGCCAGGGAGCAGGTATGGCACAGCATGGCATGGCACGGCATGGCATGGTATTGCATGGCATGGCACAGCACGGCACATTACGGTATGGAATGGCATGGCACAGCATGGCACGGCATGGCATGGCACAGCCAGGGAGCAGGTATGGCACGGGATGGCACCACACAGCACACTATGGCACGGCACAGTATGGTATGGCATGGCTAGGGAGCTGGCATGACATGGCACAGCATGGCATGGCACAAAATATCCAGGGATCAGCTATAACATGGCATGGCACAGCATCGTATGGCACGGCATGGTATGGCATGGCACAAAGTAACCAGGGACCAGGTACAACACGACATGGCATGGCACAGCATCGTATGGCACAGCATCGTACGGCATGGCACAGAATAACCAGGGATCAGGTATAACATGGCATGGCACGGTATGGCACAGCACAGCATGGCACAGCCAGGGAGCAGGCATAGCACGGCATGTCATGGGATGGGATGGGATGGGCAGGGACCAAGCAGGACATGACATGGCACGGCACGGCACAGCACGGTATGGCATAGCCAGGGAGCAGGCACCACATGGTATGGCACAGCATGGCACGGCATGGCACAGCACGGCGAGGGGTCTGCAGGGAGCCAGGAGCGGACAGGGGAGCTGGCGATCCAGGGGACCCCAGGGAGATGGAGGGGGGTGTCCCTCCCGCCCCCTGCAGCCCAGCCGCTCACCTTCCTCTTGAGCTGCTGGATCTCGGCCTCGGTGACGGCGTGTTTGATCTGGAGCTGCGGGGGGAGCCGGGCGTTGGGACGGGCATGGCCCTGGGGGGGGCCCACACACAGCCACGGCTCCCCTGTGTCCCCCGCCATCCGGCCCCCCCTCACCTCCTTGAACTTGTGCACCAGCTTCTCGGGGTCCATCTCCACGGGGGACAGCGTGTCCTCGTTCTCGGCCAGCTCGAACACCTCGATGGCCATCTCGCCGCTGGGGAACATGGGGCTCATCTCCTCCTCCTCGTCCGTGGCATATTCACCGGTCTGGGGGGGACACGGAGCAG